GGGCCTGGCCTAGGGAGGATTTTAAATTGGGTTTCTTAGAAATTTTAATTACCACAACTCTAAAATATTGGTTTTAATTTGGTTTTATTCGGTGGGGTTTGTGGGTTTGTTTTTGTTTTTAAAAAATGTTGTGAGCCGCCCTGAGTCCTTCGGGAGAAGGGCGGGATACAAATTGAATAAAATGAAATGAAAATGAAATGAAATGAAATGAATCTATGGATTGGTCTTATGGTGCATAGACCGGTTTCGGTTGTTATCACATCTGGTGCAAGTTGGTCATACAAAGTACCACCACATTACAATGTGTGACACTTTAAAGTTAGTCTGTCATCTGTAACCCATCCAAAAGTCTGAGAAATATTAAGCATGAGTCTGGAAATTATTCTGAAGAAATGGACACACACAAAAACCCATACTAGCTTTATTGAGAAGTGATACATTATCCCCTGTGAATAGCATTGTTGTCAATCAAACCTAGATTAGATAAATTAACAAGCAAGAAGGTTATTTAGCACACTAAAAACTTTTAAGTATTGATGTATACTGTGCTCACTTAAAACAGGCATGTCAAACTGCTGGCCTGCGGGCCAGATGAGTCACGCCGAAACCGTACCCACCCTATTGCCGGCAATGGGGAAAAAGTCCCGATATGTCGCGCGACGTCGCAAGTTTGACATGCCTGATTTAAAGTGCATCAAGGTAAAGATTTCCCCTGTCCAGTCATGTCCGACTCTAGGGGACGGTGCTCAGCGTTGTCCGAAGATGTTTCCACAGTCATATGGCCAGCATGACATAATGCTGCAATGCAGAGCGTGCAGTGAAACACGGAACGCTGTTACTTCCCACCAAAGTGGTACCTGTTTATCTACTTGCATTTACACAGCTCCTTGCTAGGTGGGCAAGGAGCTGTGGAGCAAGGAACAGGAGCTCAATCCATCATGTGGCGCTTGGGACTCAAACCTGGGCTGTTAGCTTTCCAGCTGAGAAGCTCAGATTGTTAACCGCTGAGCCATCGTGTCCCCGTAAAGTGTGCATATAGGTCAGTGATGGCGAACCTTTTAGAGACCGAGTGCCCAAAAACTAGCCCTGCCCCGCCCCTATCCCGCCTGCCCGCAGGGCCACTCACCGCCTCCAAGGCCCGCCACAGATCGCCCAGGCAGCCCAGCAGCACCATGGCGGCCATGCCCTCTGCCTGCGCCCCGCAGCATCAACTGTGTGCGATGGGGTGTGAGGGCAGCGTCTCTTGTCTACGCTGCCTGGCTGCCATGTCCTTGGCTGCACTGCTCCACGTGGGTCACGCTCGGGGGCGACTCTCCTCCAGGGGGGCTGCTGGTGAGGAGGGGGCATGGGGGGAGGCAAGGCTGGGGCAACAGCACGTGTGCCCACAGAGAGGGCTCCGAGTGCCACCTCTGGCACCTGTGCCGTAGGTTCGCCACCACTGATATAGGTGTTAAATAGGGGGAATTGATATTTCATTCATAACTAGTTACAATTGCAGAATGACAAAAAGTTACAAATATAACACAGAATGGAGAATAGCAATTCTACAGGGTTTATGCATACACTTTCAATGAACAATGTATACAGTTTTTGTCATTCTTTTTCCTATGTGAGTTTTTTTCTTCTCATTGAAATGTATAAGCGTTGCCTTGGCGGTAGACTCTTTGGAATGGGATGACTGATTTTGTGCCTTTTATTTTTCTAACATAAGATCCAGTGGAAGACATTTTTATTAACTGAGACTTTAAAGATATTTTTTAAAACTTAACAAGTCTGCCCATTTTTTGGATGATCCCACTCCAATTTCCTAAACCGTATTCCATATAATTTCTGAGTGTTTATTTATGCACAGAAAAGGCTGGTAGATATGTTAAGAGGCTGTTTTGTTGTAGGAATTGTTTTCACAGTTCCCATGCTTTATAGTGAATTAATAAAATCTGATTTTGCATTCTAAAATTAATATTCATCTGATTTTTTTCTGGAGAGCAGGCAATCTGCCCATCAATCAATTACACTGCCTTAGTGCTGGATTGTAGGTGACTACAACGTGCATCATACAGCCAACAATAATTAAACAATATAAAATATAAACTTTGTAGTATGATAATGAAACGGAAAGTTACGTGAGGGTTCCAGAATCAATTCCAAAAAAGCTGGATCTTTTTGCTTCTGAAGAGAATGTCTTTATTCTCTGACTATCTTGGTTAGATGGGCACATTTGATCAGGGAAGGGGCAGTCTCTTAATTTTCCAGCATGCTGAGAAAAAAATGCACTTAAAAGAAAACTGTCTTATCTTTTTTTGTTAAAAAGAACAATATACTGAAGTTCTAGTTTGACTGTACAGTATATCCCTATGTAATGTTTGTGTGTTTTAATTTCCACTAGGTTGTATATGTCACCAAAGAAAAAAGTGACCCCAGTGCAAAAATCAATGAGTCCACTTGTTTGGTGCAGGCAAATACTGGATTATCCAACTCCAGACATTGAATGTGCGAAAAAGTCATTGATCCATAGGCTTGAACAAACCATGTCAGGTGAGCTTCTGAAATTTTTTTTTTTATGCTAACTTGTTTTGAACAGGGTGTATGTTAATATACTTTTTTTTAAAAAAAATAGTTACGTTCCAGTGAAAGTTAGCCTGTTTTAAATCCAATTCACATTAATAGGAAGGTTATTATATGCTTTTTTGTATTAAAAATGCATGGGACACAAGTGTCCAGATATGTTGTAGTTATTGTCTAATAAGTACATCAGCCTGGCAGTCTTGTACAGTTATCATTTTATTTTAAATGAATTGGTATCTGGGGAAATGGCATGTAAAATAATAATCTGCAATATTTTTTTTTTGCAAAAAAAAATATGGGGGGGACATTAAATAACTGAAATAAGTAGAGAAGATGAGATGACAATTTCCTGGATGGTTACATTATCAAAATTGAATATTAGCGATTGCCAAATTAAATTTAAAAATCAAAAATTAATGGGATTGTACTGTAGAGAGTTTGTGCTATTAACAAGGTGAAGAAATGCATTAAAAATATCTCTAAATTGGATGATAGTTCCCATTTAACAATTATTTTTGACCATATCCAATGTTACTATTTCTTTAAGATATGACAACAAAATGTCTACATTAGTCATATATTAGATAGCAAGATGAGTGCTATATAATTTCAACAAACAAACAGCATTCTCAGTTGGAATGCTGAGGGGAAATGGAGAGGCTTCCAAGCTGAGCCATGCTGGCTCAGGAATTCTGGGAGTTGAAGTCCACGAGTCATAAAAGAGCCAAGGTTACCTACCCCTGCTCTGGTGGATTTATGGATTTCCAGTTTTTTAAAAAAAAATGTTGAAAAAGATCATCACACCTTAAGATCTTGATGTTATTGCCTTAGATGTTGCTTGATTACAGGGGAGAACAAGGCGTGCCAAATCTCCCACAATATTTTTATGGGTAATTTGGCCTGAAAAATGCACTGCTCCCTGTCTTCTGTTTTGTTAATTCAACCAGGACTAAAATTGAACCTAATTTTTCAATAAGCAAAACTGAAATGACTTAAACATAAAGTAATAAAAACAATAACTTAGATAATTTGACTGTAGTATTTACCATGGGAAAATAGTAATTAAAAGTTGAAAATTATTTACTCAACTTGGTACCCACATTCTGTACCTCATAACATAGTATAAGACAGGGGTGTCAAACTGCCGGCCCGCGGGCCGGATGTGTCACCAGGAAACTGCGCCTACCCCATTGCCAGCAATGGGAAAAAAGCTCCGATACGTCGCGCGACGTCACGTGGGGAATTTGACATGTCTGGTATAAGAAATAAAAATCAGAAATGCAATTTTAAGTGCTGTGAAACAGTATATGAATTTTCTTTTCTTTTTTTTCATACAGCTCTCAAGAGACACAGCCTATATAGTAATCCATTCAACACTGTCAATTACACAAACTCCTATAGCCAAAGTGCTGGCAGTCCCTACAGCACTGGCTTCAGTTCTCCTTCCCCTACACCAGTGAAAGGTCCTTTAGTAAAACAGCTTATATATCCTAACAACTCAGGTAAGAGTCTCATATCTAAGTTGCAAGTGATAACCAAGAAAAACGTATTAGCTCTTAATGACTTCTTTTATTTCAGATGTTTGGATCTATCTCTGCTTATACAGCTTATGCAGATAAAGCACTATATTAGCAATTTTTAATGATGTCTGAATAATTTTGAGCTGTAATCCTTATATTGCTTATATTGCTGTACATTTCCTTCCTTCCTTCCTTCCTTCCTTCCTTCCTTCCTTCCTTCCTTCCTTCCTTCCTTCCTTCCTTCCTTCCTTCCTTCCTTCCTGAATATGCCCAAATCCTGGTCAAGGTAGACTACTATATTTACAAATGTGTTAACGTTATTTTTTATATTGATTCTATTTGGCATTTATAAATTCATCTTTTGTAGTGGAGGTACTATTTTAAGTGCCAGAATTATTTTTCCTTAATAGCAAAAAATTAAAATTAACATACAGTTATTATGAAAGTGGTAAATGAAGAGTTGCAGAAGTCTAAACAATAAAGACTTGTTTCAACTTTCCTTTAAAGCACTTTTAAGAGTTTCAATATTTGCCCCAGTTAGCACTGTTCCTTTAGAAGTTCACCCAAATCCTGCACATCGTAGATTGATTGGAACCTAACTTGAAGAAAAATGAGTTTATTTCTCAACATATTTGAATTCTTAGAAGTTTTTTCTTTCTGCCCTCAGTGTTTATTTATTTATTTATTTATTATATTTTTACCCTGCCCTTCTCCTTGCGGACTCAGGGCGGCTAACAGCCTAATAAAAACAAATACAAAAGTACAAAAATACTACCATTAAAACGTAATTAAAAGGAAATATTAATTTGGCCTTTGTTATTTTAAAATTGTTTTAAAACCCAACTAAAAATACCCCTTAGGTATTTATAGAACCCCTGTTCTATAAATCATGCTGATTTATAGGGATGATAGGGATGTCTTTGTTTATTAGTTTGTTTTTCTTTTCTTACAGGTCATTTCAAAAGTTCAGATCGAAATCCTCCACTCAGCCCACAATCCTCTATAGACAGTGAATTGAGTGCTTCAGAAATGGATGAAGACTCAATAGGATCGAATTACAAACTAAACGACTTAACTGATGTGCAAATTTTAGCTCGGATGCAAGAAGAAAGTAAGTAGTTTTCATATCATAAAAGTAAAAATGTGATTTTTTTCCCCTGTCACATTTAGCACATTTGCTTTTGTCGATAAACTTCAAGGCCATGTTAGGAAACAAAGGGGTTTGGGAAGCATATAGGCCAAGAGAAATGGAAAACAATAGGAAAAACTAAGAGGTGAAAGTAAAAATAGAGAAATGATCCATCCATTTATGTTTCCACATAGCAATTCTTTCTAGATACAACTTTAAATAATTGCTATAGTACTGTGGTAATAAGCTGATAGCGAAGTGGGAACATTTTGGAAATTTGACAAATTTCCTGGCTTCTAATCACCCAAAAGATTGTTGGAAACTCAGATGACATGCTGGTTGTAGCTGAAGACATGATCTGGGTTTGAATAGACAGTTCTTAAAGCACCACCTTCATCTCCCAGCACATTTGCCAAGAAGGATGGAAAAGTCTATATATGAGCTACTGTTGCATTATTATCTTTCTGTAGCAGACTGGGAATTAATCAGAGTTAATACCGTAATATGTATGTTCCTTGGTTACGGTCCTCTTAGAGAGCTGCATTGGGGACAGCATTACCAGGCAAGATTTCAATTCGGATTTACAGAACAATTTTCCCTCAGTGATTGCCATCGAGGCAACCTAATTGAAGCTAGTTTTATAAAAGGTTGTGACTTTGTGTTTGCTGCACTGAGTAACTTATCCAGAATAAAACAAGAGACTTGTGAGAATATTTCCACTATTTTTTTTTTCTTCATGTGAACTTCGCTAAAAAAAAAAACCTTAAGTCTTCATTATGTTTGCTGGATAAAATGTAAAGCTGTAGATTGGCTGGAGAAAAATATACCAGTTATAATATCAATTACTTGTAATTACGGTGTCATCCAACCTAAACCAAAGCCAAAGCAAAGAGGGATAGCAATTGGACCAATCCTGCAAGATGTCAGGAAAATGTCCCCTCTGCCACACCCATAGAAAAAAAAGTAAAATGTGACATGTTCAAGTTAGGATCTGTATACTGCACGAGCCAGAAAGAGGGCTGAGAAAATATCTACAGACCCCTCACATCCTGGACACAATCTATTTCAGGGGTCCTCAGATTTGGCCACTTGAAATTGGCCATATTAATTATAATCATTACTGCTCAGCAGGGGTCTTCAAACTTGGCCCTTTTATGACTTGTGGACTTCAACTCCCAGAATTCCCCAGCCAGCCATGCTGGCTGGGGAATTCTGGGAGTTGAAGTCCACAAGTCTTCAAGTGGCCAAGTTTGAGGACCCCTGATCTATTTCAGCTTTTCCCCTCAGAACGCCGCTATAGAGCATTGCATGCCCAAACAGCTAGACATAAAGATAGTTTTTTCCCCCGTGTCATCATTCTTCTGAACCCTTAATTCCCACAGCACTGTCTCATCTCCTCATCTTTCCTACTATCTTCTCCTATTGGTTTCTTATGCTTTATCAATTGTTGTTTGTAACTTATGATTAATGATTGTAATGATGATTTATGATCTACCACCTATTACTTGCTGTTTATATGTACATTTTGAATTTATGGACCGGAGACAAATTCCTTGTGCGTCCGATCACGCTTGGCCAATAAAGAACTCTGTTCTATCCTGTTTACATTTTGTCAATAGATATTTCCCAGCTTTTGTTTGTGTCTGTTTATTACATTTCTGTTTAGCTCAGAGATCCCATCATACAACTTCTCCACAGAATTAATCTTTCAGTATACAGTAGCATACAGTTAATACTGCCAAGACGATTCTGGATTGAGATGTTGTAAGCACAACAATCAAGCTAGTGTGTTGTTTTCTGGCTGAATAACATGGAGGCAGATTGTAGCCATTTGGGGTTGCGTGTCATTAAGATCTGAATAATGCCCCGCTTTGTCTGTCCATCTGCTGCTGTGGAAGCTGCGAAACATTTGATTTCTGAGTTTATTAAGAGCCGGCCTAATAAAGTGTGGTTAAATATTGATACGAAAAATGTAGTATTGGTTAAAATGCTAAATTTGGAACTGATGTCAAATCCACATTGCTAGACCATTGCTTTCAAATCTAGTCTAAATCCTGGATGCTAAGGTGATATCCAGATCTAAAATAGCTGGTGCATAACTTAACTTTGGTTCATTCTAGATCAGTGATGGCGAACCTTTTAGAGACCCAGTGCCCAAAAACGCCCCGCCCGCTCCACCCCCACCTCGCCCCCATCCCGCCCCGGGCCCCGCCTGCCCGCAGGGCCACCCACCGCCTCCACAGCCTGCTACAGATTGCCCAGGCACCCCAGCAGCGCCATGGCAGCCACACCCTCTGCCTGCGCCCCACAAAATCAACTGCGCACAACAGGGCATGAGGCCGGAGTCTTGTCCCCACTTCCCAGCTGCCATGTTCTTGGCTGTGCTGCTCCACGTGGGCCGTGCTCAGGGCGACTCTCATCTTGGGGGGCTGCGGGTGAGGCGGGGGAGGCGGGGCTGGGGCACGGTGCGCGTGCCCACAGAGAGGGCTCCGAGTGCCGTCTCTGGCACATGTGCCATAGATTTGCCACCACTGTTCTAGATAATCCATGCTTCATTTGGCCATTGCTTCAGAGATATTTCCTTACCAATGCCTTCAGCCATGACAGCTAAGGTATTGCCTGTCATGGTTTCGACAGACAGAGACGAATAAAGCAAAACTCCGAGGCTTGCAAATTCCTCAAAGAACTTGTTTATTAGTTACAAAGTATCGGCATGTCAAAAGTGAAACCAAGTCTGGAGACATATTGTAACAATTCCCCAATTACAAAGTTAAAAAAAATTCTCACCCTTAAAGCTAGGCAAGCGACTACGTTCCCCGATACATCTTCTCGGCGGGCTTTTTAACGCAACGCCCAGCCTGCAGTCTCGGGAGCAGCCAATGACCTTGGTTCCCACGGGACAAAAGATTATTTTGACAAGCGAAGCACCTGGCAACCACTCCCCATCTCTCCGTTCTGTGTGTCAACCAAAAATGAGTAGGAAAAATGGCTTCAGCCATGCTCATTTGTGGAGTTGACAGTGCCTTTACTGGAAACGTTGGGCTACAGTATCCAGTGGTGTTTCTGCCTTGAAAATAGCCCACGTTGAAAGATATAGCACAGTCAAAGGTCAGCATAGGAATTGTTTTATAACATTTTTATAAATCCAAATGTTCCTTGTCTGTACTAATCTAAAAAGGGGATTGTACTTCAGGCCATGTTCTTTCTGTTCGTTAGGTCTTCGGCAAGAATATGCAGCAACTACTTCTCGGCGTAGTTCTGGTTCTTCGTGTAGCTCTGTGCGGCGTGGAACGTTTAGCGACCAGGAACTTGACGCCCAGAGCTTAGAAGACGAAGAAGACAGCTGCCACCATGCAGCTCACCCACCTATGAATAGGTTCTCTCCATCACCCCGCAATTCACCCCGACCTTCACCAAAACAGTCCCCAAGGAATTCTCCCCGGTCGCGATCCCCTGCTAGAGGAATTGAGTACAGCAGAGTGTCACCTCAGCCCATGCTTAGCCGCCTGCAGCAGCCTCGCCTTTCACTTCAAGGACATCCGCCTGATTTACAAACCACCTCTGTAAAAAATGAAGGTAAAAGACTCTTGTCTTCAGTTTTAGGTACGGAACGTTCCAATAGCGGTCGTGGTGTGTCCCCAGTGGTATGGCAGCATTTGAAACGCTGGTTGCGAAATCAGCAGCCCTGTAAATCGGGGGGTCCCAACCCCCGGTCCGTGGATCGGTACCGGGCTGCGGCATGCCAGCAACCGGTCTGCGCAAACAAGCAAAGTCCCATCCGAGGGATGCAGGCAGCACAAAAAACCACGCCCCCTCTGGTCCGTGGAAAAACCTCTCTCCACGGAACCGGTCCCTGGTGCCCAAAAGGTTGGGGACCTCTGCTGTAAATCATTGAAATAACATTTTTAAAAAATGTGCCGTGTATTTGGCATGATAGTCAAAGACACTGTTTCTAAGATCTATCATATACATATTGTACCGGAAGGAAAAAATACTGTCTCCAGAAACTAGGTTTGTTTTTTTTCAAAGTTCAAAGTAGAAAAATACTGTTAAGAGTGAGCTATATATATTTCCTAATAATCTCATTACAGTACAGAAGAAAAATAACTAGGATGTTGCTTCTATTATCATTTTCCTTTAAAAGTTAGTATCTTTTTAATGGAATTCAATGAGATATGTAAAAGCACGTGTAGTAAACAAATTTTTTGCTAAGAGACCACAAACAGAAAGACTCAACGCGGTTATTTTACTGTTGTTGTTGGATGTTCCTGCCGCTCCCCAGTTCTGTTACTGTAGATCTCTTAAGGCATGTTGCATTGCTAACTCTACTTTGTGAAAGGGGACCGATCAGACTGTACCTCATATAGCACTGTTTAAAAACGATTGCATTCAAATTTTTCATCTTCCTGTTTGCTCCCTTTCATTGCTTGCTTTAAAGCTTTCTTTCAGTTCTGTATATCCTCTGCAACAAGTGAAATTCCAGCTAATTGTTTTGTTGGCAAGCTGAAAGTTAGTTACCAGCTAGACTTAAGACCTGAGGAAGAATTCTACCATCCTTATCAACCAAACAGTTATTTGCATTTTGAAAACGTAATTCTTTGACTGGCAGATTACGAACCTTGAGCTCTATGATCAATTTGAACTCACTTATTCTAATACTATAAATTCCTGCTCCCTCAGTTAACAGGAAACTGTTCAAAAAAGAGCAACACAGAAAGTCTGGAACATATATTTTTCTAAGCAGATCATATCATTTATAGATGATAAATGTAAATCAAGTGAAGCAATGCATGACTTGTACCTAAAATGGGACAATTTAAAAAAATGTAGTGAAAAATTCTTCTAAAGTCCAACAGAAAATAATTTATAGATCCCAGAGGAAGTGGGTATGCCTGTTTGTCTGAAATATGGAGGGCGATATCTTGTACACTTACTCTTTGGTGACTTGCACCTACCCTTTTCACATACCTACAAGTGGTGTGGAAAATGCTCATCCCTTGGCGCTGCACTCTGTGTTTCTCCTATGCTCTCTGCCACTAACTCTTAAATAGGATTTAATCTCGATGGAAAAACTATACAGGGTGGGTGGAAACGGAAACCATAAGCTAGATAGGGGCTTGGAAAGGTGAGTAACAGCAATGATGGCACTTAGTTGGAATGGCAGGTGATGGCACACATGTTCCGCAAAGCATGCGATCAGCACCACTTGCGTATGCAGTATTTTATGGTTCTTGATAGTCTTGCTGCTGCAAAAGTAATACTGTGGCTGAAAACCTAAACTATCCTTTCTTTTAAATTATGTTGGCGTACCTCATGTTTCCCTGCATGCAATGCACATCCTTGCGCCGTGAGTGAGCAGCTGGTTGAAAGAAAAGGAGAGTTTCCGTTAGAAGTAGGTTGCAAAATTCTTTAAAAGGATCAGGAAAATTAATCTGAGTAACCTGCCTATTAACAAATTAAAAATACACAGCGTTACTGCATCTTTTAGCTAAATTGAGGAATTCTCAAACATGCTCAGTAATGGATAGGGGAGGGGGCAGTCTTTATTTGTAAGAGACGGGCCCCATCTATTTTCCTCTGTACTGATTATGCCAGTGATGGCGATCCTTTTAGAGACCGAGCGTCCAAAAACAGGCCCCGCCCCACCTCACCCCCACCCCACTCCCTGCCCCCTGTCTTGCCTGCCCACAGGGCCAACCACCACCTCCACAGATCGCCCAGGTGGCCCAGCAGCACCATGGCAGCCACGCCCACTGCTTGCGCCCCGCAGAATCAACTGCGTGCGACGGGGCACAAGGGCGGAGTCTTGTCCCTGCTGCCCGGCTACCATGTTCTTGGCTGCGCTGCTCCGCGTGGGCTGCGCTTGGGGGCGACTCTCCTCTGGGGGGGCTGCTGGTGAAGTGGGGGCCGCGAGGAGAGGCGTGGCTGGGAGGACAGCACGCGTGCCCACAGAGAGGGCTCTGAGTGCCACCTCTGGCACGCGTGCCATAGGTTCGCCACCACTGGATTAGGCAGTTGAAGAAAAGCTGGTAGCTGCTATTAGATCAATTTGCCCAATGTACAAAGTCAAAATGGCAGTAAGCTCACAGTGATTCTATATTTCTATAATTAAGTTCCAGTCTCTATATCAGGGGTGTCAAACTTGCGACGTCACGTGACGTGTCGCGACGTATCGTGACTTTTTTTCCATTGCCGGCAATGGGGTGGGTGCGGTTTCGGCATGACGCATCCAGCCCGCGGGCTGGCAGTTTGACATCCCTGCTTTATATAATTCACAGACTGCTAATCACAGATAGGTCATAATTTGTGGGGGGGAGTAATCCCATTATTCCCTATAGTAATTACTACTGGATGGGATAGAGGGCTAGACAGTCGCAGCAGTATGAAAGTATGTACAGTATTTGTATATATCAGATTTAGATTCCAAAATAATGATTCTCGGCACAGTTCAGGAGCAGGAGGCGCTAAACTTATTTGCATAGCTCTATTCATCTTTATCCCTGTTTGCATTATTTTTCATCTTTTGAGCTTTTGCTTTTGCTTTTCTTGCATTGATCTTAAAAAGGGATACACCAACAAACAACAAGAAATATTCCCTAACTCAAAAAAACCCATAAAAGTTCATTATATGTCGCGATCAGTGAAATATATTTCAAGCTTAATTTTACTTAAAACTATAAATTCTGGGGGCTCCAGCAAAAGCTGTCAAGGAAACTCAGCATAGTTGATTCCATTATATTTAAGAAATTATTTGTGTTGTTTCTTAGTTCAGATGCTGATTTGCAGCGATAGCTGAGAAAGTTAAGTTTACGTGATTTTTAGTATTACTAAGTCCAAAAGCTAGGATTCGTTTTTGCATTGGTCTACTACTTCTAGTGGTGCACTACTTCCAGTGCATATTCCAAATTGTTACATATCTCCCTTTACGGTTCAGTCTAGTTTCTAACAGTTTTTCAGACAAAATGCCAGTTGTCATTTGAGGCAGACAACTGGCCCGTAAATCTTTTTTAAAATTCCCAAATCTGCTTGAAATCATGATACCTTAACAATTGTTGCATTGGAGAGTGTTTCCTTTGCAGAGAAATAACAGGCGAAAATAATATACAGAGAACGCCATTTGATTTATATCACTAAAGAGTGAAAAATTAAGATGATGCAGATTTGTTGGTGATATATTACCTCAGCGGTCCCCAATCTTTGAGGCTTGGCGGCCTAGCAGAGGGGAGAGGGGAACGGGGCTGCGCAAGCAGTGGGCCGTTGCGCACATGCACCTCAACTTGCGTGAGCAGAGGGCTAGTGCACACAGCCATGCGCGTGCAAATCAAGTTGAGCTGCACGTCCGTGTGCATGCGCACTGGCTTGCCGCTCGTGCAACTCGAGCTGCGTGCATGCCAGCCCGGCGCTTGTGCGGCCCGGTTGCAAATAGGCCGCTGTGCTGCCACTCACACACACACACACACACACACACACACAAAACTGTGGTTTAGTGAGTGAGAGGGGCAACACAGCCGAGGCCCAGTAATGGACCATGGCCTGGAGGTTGGGGAAACCCTATATTACATCATAGCAAAATAAAGTCCACCACACAATGCATTCCATGTTTTGAAAAATTTAAATTCATATTTAATTTATCGGACTATTAGACAGTTATGATGGATATCAGTGTTAATTTTTTTCTTATAAGATTCATAAGTCTCATTATATGCCTAGCAAGCATATTTTTTAGCTAATAAAGATGATTTCACCCCAAATCTGTAGTGATCATTCTACAGGCAAATCAATACTGCTAGGATGATGGAGAAGAAATTTTGAGTACAAGGCCATATTTGTTCAGAGCTATGGAATCTGTTACTCTCCATCACTGTAGGGTTTTTGAAAAATGTTAGCCTAACTCAGGGGTAGGCAACCTTGGCTCTTTTATGACTGGTGGACTTCAACTCCCAGAGTTCCTGAGCCAGCCATGCTGAGGAGAAATGGAAAGGTTTCCATGCTGAGCCATGTTGGCTCAGGAATTCTGGGAGTTGAAGTCCACGAGTCATAAAAGAGCCAAGGTTGCCTACCCCGGCCTAACTTGTTTCCCATTATTTCTTTTTAAAAGTATATAGCATTGGTTTTCAAAATAAATAGGGTTTTGTACAATGGTGTCAGCTGGTAAAAGCTGTTCCACCAGAAAACAGATTGTGAATGTCTGAATCCTTCTCTGTATTCTGTAAAATCTGCTCTAGATTCCTATCATATCTAATCAGCCAGAACAGATTTGGGGCAATTATGGGACTTTGAGGAAATTATTGCAAAGCTCCAACTCACTAAACCTTTTTTTTTGTCCAGTTGTATATTGCTAGTTTGTTCCTTATTTATTTTGGTATCACAGTTCTGACTCAGAACTACTTCTACCTTACTTTATGCAGAGACTGGAATTTAAATAGATAAATAGGTTGCCATCTGTTGGATATCCATTCACCATTTTGAGAGAATGGATCAACACACTAGGCCAGGGGTAGGCAATCTTGGCTCTTTTATGAGTCGTGGACTTCAACTCCCAGAATTCCTGAGCCAGCATGGCTGGCTCAGGAATTCTGGGAGTTGAAGTCCACAAGTCATAAAAGAGCCAAGGATGCCTACCCCTGCACTAGACTGTTTTTCCTAAAGTAACAAATATCAGTTAATTTTTGCTCTCTGGGAAGGTTCAGACTTTGATAAAATGTAATATTTTGGATAAAATGTTCACTTGCTAATGCTTTAATTGATAATGTATTGCTTGACAGCTAAAATGTGTGCTCTGGAGGCCTGTACGTAGCCTTTCCCCCTCCCTCTGGGCCTCTGTACTCCAGGTTGCAATGGGTGGTAGAAGAATGCAGTCTCCTGCATTAGACGGTATGTTGTGGTATGTTGTTATCTTTCTTTAATACAGAAAAACTAAGGCGTAGTCTTCCAAACCTGTCCAGGACATCTAACATCCATGTTGAGTCTGTGAAAAACAGTAGAAGTGATTCAAACTTCCAAGTGCGAAACGGAGGAATGCCTCGTATTCAACCTCAGTCCTCAGCCAGTAAGTATCTTTACGGTGATGCTGTAAACGCAGCTTCTGAAAGAAGACTGAAAATTGTAGCTGCGTGTTTACAGTTTCATGGTAAAGGGATGAGATGTTTCATGCGACCAATGCTAACTTAGCCAGATCTAATGTATTTTGAATGAATGATTTTTTTTTCTGTCCCACCATTGAAAACATACACATTTTTTGTCCCAAGTTACTTTTTTTGCCTTTGATACACATTCCTTTCTTTCTAGGTTTACCTTTCTAGGTAAACTAGGTTTAAATTTAGTAATTCTTTAAGCATTCAATATCATCAGCATATATAATGTGCATATTTAATTTAATATCACACACGTATCCTACCTAGGATTTAAAGTGTGCTACAGGTTTTCGTGCAATTTGCAGCTGTGAGATAAGATAAGATAACCTCTATTGTCATTTTTTACTGTGGGCATGATGACACACATCAAAAATGAAATTTAGTTGCCCGCTCTCAAAAGTGAACACATACACGACACACACCTAAACATACTATGTACAACATATGTATAAACCAGGGGCCTTCAAACCTGGCCCTTTTATGACTTGTGGACTTCAATTCCCAGAATTCGTCAGCCAGGCATGCTGGCTGAGGGATTCTGGGAGTTGAAGTCCACAAGTCGTAAAAGGGCCAAGTTTGAAGATCCCTGGTGTAGACCTATAGCCCTACATATATATATCTTCAATATAATACAAAAAATATTGAAAAGCAATTTTATTTTTGCAGTTAATGCCTCAATACTGTTTTGGGGGAATAAGATAAAGACAGTGCATTGTGCTCTGTGTGGCTTCTCTTAAACAGATAAAAGTACAGCGGTTCTCATTTCATACTTTAGACTGGTTTCCTGAAATGTTTACCCGAATAAAGGCAGAATAAAGCATTTAATGTTGCTGATTTCACAAATATTTTTGTCATCTCTGCAGATCTTTATGCACTGAGCTCTAAGAACTGCACTAGATTGTTTGTCCAAATGCATTTTTCTGCAGTTAGAAATTCTTGTCTTACTGGTGTCCCTGATCACCAAAATCAAACTGAACATATTCATGGTTTCCATGCTCAGAGCACAGATGTCTGCAGAGGTGTGCAGATGTTTGGGGCGGGGTTTACTCACTTTTTGTTAACCTTCAGTGCTTTTATGCTTACATGTACCATCTACATGCCCGCAAAGTAGCACAATATGCTGAACACAATAATGTAATTAATGATGTAGCCATTGTTTGAGCATGTTGATTTGCTTTGCATCGATTATGCTAAAGAGTGTCCCTCGGGCTATGGGAACATATGTAGAGGATGTATTTGTAAAAACAGACCTTTGACTTTTCAGGCAATATTATTAATTGCCTTGTATGTTAGGACATGTGTCTAGAGGGGCAGGTGAATCCAGACACACCTCTAATATACGGATACAAAATATATACTGTATGTATTGTAGAACCGAGGTTTTCAAATTTGGAAGGAACATGGAAACTTACCAGGCATGACCTTTGGAAGCTAAGGATTAAATTACACTTGATAGTAAACATGAAGCTTAACATGGCATATATTGTTGCTTAACTGTTAAGTAATAGTGACTGGGTAGTTCATTCAGAATCGTAGCACTTGTAGTGAGATTAATATCTTGCCTAGTTCAGGGGTAGGCAACCTTGGCTCTTTTATGACTCGTGGACTTCAACTCCCAGAATTCCTGAGCCAGCCATGCTGAGGGAAAAGGGAGAGGTTTCCAAGCTGAGCCATGCTGGCTCAGGAATTCTGGGAGTTGAAGTCCACGAGTCATAAAAGAGCCAAGGTTGCCTACCCTATTGCTAACGTATTTTCTTGAGTTTTATATGAGCTGAGAGTTTTAATTCGGAAGAACACATTTCCATCTGTCATCCCAATTGCCGAAGCTATTTGCAACTAAACAAAGATGTATTTGATGATATTGAACAGTACGTGCTTAACATTGTATGTGGTTTGCCCCTAATGTATTCTTAAGTTTGATATATAGAAATCTTGCTATTACCTGCTTTTCGGTGTTTGTGAGTTACCTTTCCATGTTTTCATTGGATTTTCTTTTACAAAGCACTATCATATTGTGGTGGCTTTTTCACTTCAAGCTGCTGTTCTGCATGGACTTAACTCGACAAGGTTACTTTGATTTATGTTTAAAACTATTACCTTTTCCATTCTACAAGTAAAGCTTTCAGAAACTGCATGCCTACTATATTAGTATTGAAAAATACTAATGTACTTATAAACCATGTATCCACACTGATATAAATGTCAGTACACAGCATTAATATGCATATATCAATATCAGAACATTTACAGATTTTGATACCTATATTGAAAAAATGTGTTTATTTTTATACCACATTCCGAGCTGACAGCTCTTGTTAGTGTGTAACAGTAAGCTCTACTTTATTTCAGTCATGGTTTGTCGAGCAAACAGGTTAGTTTTCACATCTTCTTTGCTCAGTATTGGCTTGATCCTGCCCTCACTTTTCTGCAATAGACCCTGAACATTTTGCTGACATTTCTGAATTAGCCTAGACTCAATACTACTTACAGTGGTACCTTGGTACTCAACTGCTTTGAAACTCATAAAATTTAATACTCAATGCATTTTGATGTGAAAATTTTGCCCCGGTACTCATTGTTTGTTTGGCATTCAACACTCAAATCAAATCAACCTTTATTGTCAAAGTGCAACATGTGTACAATGAGATTGGCTGAGCCTCCCTTCGTGCACCCCCCCACCACAACTGACAATGACAACAAACCCACCATCTTATTACACCATGTGAACGTATTGCACAATGCGCCGGCCCCGCAAGTCTATCATAGGAGTTATTTCCCATTCAAGAGTCTGACAGCCCATGGGTAGAAACTGTTCTTCAGCCTGTTGGTGCGGCTGGCTATGCTTCTATATCTCCTACCATCGGGTGCTGACTAGAGTGTGAGTCGTCCCTGAGGATTTTCCTCACTCTTCTAAGGCAGCGGGCCCTAGCGATGTCGTCTAGTGGTGTCAGGGAACAGCCCATGATGTTTTGTGCTATGCTCAGCACCCTCTGTAGTGTCTTTCTATCCGTGGCTGTCAAGCCAGCTAGAACATACTGTTGTCAACTGCCTTGTGGCTCATTATATTATTCCCTTATGGGAAAAATTTGTTTGGTACTCATCATTTTTGGTACCCATCACGCCTCCTGGAAGCAATTAACAACGAGTACCAAGGTATCACTGTACTTAACATTATCCAGCTGCAGAATGTGACAGGGGACTCAAATCATTTTTGGCCATTTAGAGGTACATGTTAAAACAGGCGTCTTCTTTTCCTAAACGTGAACAGGATAGTCCTGACCTCGTCTTTTCCTGACAGGAACATAACTCAAACTCTTCCCTCCGTGGATTGCCATAAATTTATTTGCATAGTCAAAAGCGAAGAGTTAATACTTAACCCACACCGGCTTTGGCAGAAATTTGCCTAACACCGTTTTCATCTTCAGCAAAACAGGAAAAAATCTGTTTCCAGTTGTTCCCTAGAATTCTCCCCCCGCCCAAAAAAAGATATCAGTGCTTACTCATTTCGGTTTCCTAGACAATTTCTGTTTTGCAGATTAACACCCAGTATATTTTATACAAATCTTGTCCATAAAAGCTATATGTAAGGACCCACTTCAATCCCACATCTTAAGAAAGCAGAACTATTGGAGACGATTTCCTCCAACAGGAACTTTTATTAAAAGTAGTTGATAGCAGGCATAATAGACAGGATCTGAGGGATTCCTTTACAGATCAATATTTTAAAGTGTCCCCAAGCAAACCCCACCCCACAGTTCATCCGGATGGTTCAGAGCGGCCAATCCCCAGGTATTAAGTCCATCGTGGGAAAGGGGAGATAGCATCGGTCCAGCTCTGGTCGTAGCGCACCTCCTTTTGAGACCAGAGAAATAAGCCAGGCTCTGGAGGTTGTATTTCTTCCCTCCCCCCTTTTCCTAGCTGACAGGTTAGGGAGAAGAAAGTTCAGAGAGAGATACAGTGCAGGAAGCAAATTGTTACATTGTAGCGGGCAGTGGACACAGGCAATAAACAAAGCAAAAGGTTACATTGTAGCAAATAGAGAAAGCAATAACCCCGCAGGCATATCCCCCTCCCTCTTGGGAGTATGGCAGAACCCAGGGAAAAGTGAGATTTGTTTTTAGATCAGAGGAGATAGATAGAAATGAAATAGAAATGGGTTCTGACACTATACTTGGTTATGGGCTCCCGGCTTCTGAAGATTCTTTCTCCATAACCAGCACTTGTTCATCAATAAAGATATTTTTTGATTCATGAGGAACTTTGTTTGATAGCAAATGAAAGCAGTATTTTTGTTACAGCAGAAAAGGAGTGGTGGAGGAAAGAAGCTGTGCATAAAGAGAGATCTCTTGGGAATATGCTTTTGGGGACAGATGCAGATAATTGGGAGAAATGATCCCCAGTGGACTTTTCTCCCACATTTCTGGTATAATTTATTTGATATCAGCTGACATTTTCAGGCTATATATTTGAATAAGTGAGTAAGAGAGTGGCGTGGTGGCCTAGAGGTGGAGCTCTCACCTCACAGTCAGGAGGCTGTGAGTTCGATCCTAGATAGTGGCAGATATTTCTCTCTCTGGGCGCAAAGAGAAAATATCTGTTGTGAGCCCCACGTAGGCGTCAGGAAGGGCATCTGGCCAGCAAACGCTCAGCTCCAATCAGTTGCCCTGCCTCCAGCCCAAAGCAAGGTATTGCAGAGTCGTTAAAAGAAAAAAAAATTGAATAAGTGAGTAAGGTCTTCATCTTCAAGTGACACAGGAAAGAAGTAACTTCAGTCTCAATTTTTAAACACCTAAATATATTATTAGGCAGCAGAGGTAAATTATTAGAGAAAAGGCAGACAAATAAAGAATCATGTAGCCACCAAAAGAATATGAATCTAGGCCAGGGGTCTTCAAACTTGGCTCTTTTATGACTTGTGGGCGTGCCTGGCTGAGGAATTCTGGGAGTTGAAGTCCACAAGTCATAAAAGGACCAAGTTTGAAGACTCCCAATCTACGCAGACAAAGAATCATGCAGCCACCGAAAGAATGTGAATCTGGAAAAGCAAAAAAAAACAAAAACAAAATTCTATCAGCGTTAAGAGAGTATTATGGATTTAAATGTAATGATATTTCAAAGTTAACACAAACTAGGATTTTTTTAAAAAAAAATAATTCAGATGAGAGTTTATCTGCTGAAAACAAAGCCATAAACTATAATTAGATTAGAGTCAGAATCAAATCTCAGTTCATCTAGACAAATCGTGAGTTGAAATTTTACTAGCGTTAGGATCTCTTAAATCTAGCTGAAATACTTGATATGCTTTCCCTCTTAATTGAATATTGTGCGTGTCAAAATAGTTATTATGTGCTATTTTATATTTTCTGGAATGGGAGGCTAGAGGAGAAAAAATCTCTTATTTAGAGGTGAGCAGAGGACATAACATTGTTTCTGTGAATCATTTCAAAGATATATTTGTAATGTAGTACACTTTATTTGGAGGATTAAAAATTAAAACACCTATTATTGAATAACCAAGCCATTTGCCAAATCTCATTAAACTAATTTAAAATTAGATGAGTGCCAATTAAACTGAATGTAGATAATTATATCGCATATTACCTAATAGGAAGACTCATTGTAATTGTGAATTTAAGTTGTTGCTCAGAAGAATAGAAGAAAACAAGTGAATAGTGGAGATGCAGATAAATGTGAATTTTATGGCTGTTCTAAAGCCTCTGAAGGGTTAGGAGTTTAGCTATTGCTTGATAGAGGCTGTTTTGCCTTGGTGTAATATCAAACAGGCTTTCCCCTTTTTTTTATTTCTTTCTCTCCAAAAGCCTCTTCTTTACCCTCATCATCTTCTAGCTTTCTTCTCCCATTTCTCTTCCCAGGGCAGGTAACTCTTCCCAGATCCTATTTCTGTTGTTTGCTGCTGCCGCTGCTCATTCTTTGTTGATTTTTGCACATGGAGCAAAAGGAAACAAACAAACAGTGAATGTGTGAATGGCTTATATCTGTGAAAGAGAGTGGTCCATAAATGCAAACAGGATCGGTGTCACTGGCCTTTTGGAAAAAGTGTCTTCTTAACAGCTGCACACACACACATGTGAAGCGCAGATTAAATAAATAATAAATAAATCCGTCTGTTCTTCTAAATGCTTGGCAAGCAGTTGACTTTTTTAATTATTCTCAAAGTGAGTTTAATTATGCCCGTCTGATCTAAAGTATGTTTTAAGATTGGTCATCTGGTTAGAAAACAGCAAGGGCTCTCATGCACGGAAGTAAGGGAGACGATGCTAAAAAGTATTCCATATTATGTTGCAGAATTTTCTTTCATGACTGTTATACTGGACAGACTTAGTGATTTATACTGATCTTCATAGATCAGCTTTAATGTATGGCATCCTATATATTCTTCCCCTCTCTTCCATGTTGATGGCAGAGCTTCTTCTTTACCTTTTCTGTATAATAGGAATGGTTTGTTAAATAGCCATCAGTGTAATGTTTTGAGTATCAGAAGCTGTTCGGGATGAAGAAATGCCACTTTGAAATAGGAAAGAGACAAGTTAGCAGTTTTATTTCAGAAATAAATATTCTTTAAAACGCCCATACCTTTGGGAAGAAGAAAATGCTCTTAAAAGAGTTGACCGATGTGAAACTTTATAAACCTTTGGAGTTAAATGAGACAGTTGCCCTCTTAAGTTTAACCTTGCACTGATATGGCTTTGCATGATTGGCTGGTGGTTTGTTTTCACGTCTAGGTGTTGGCAGGTATTTATTATTAATATTATTTTGGCCTGCAAAAAACCCTTTGCCTGCTAAAGCCCATGATGCATTTTATTCTGTACATTTTCTGACAGTTCTTACTGTGGTGAGAGCCTCACTTCTTTAAAATAAAACACTTTGCTGCTACTGCTGCTGCTACTATGACTGGAGCCATAACAGCTTTTGAAAGCTATTTTGCCATATATATATATTTTGTTCATATCAGCTTCGTTTAGACAGAGATAACATGTCTTTGTTTCAACAGCTCTGCAAAAGCAGAAAAATTTGCACCGTGTTGCCTTCAAAACCAAACAGCTACTTCCTACTCCAGCCGCCAAAGGAGGTAATTAGCTTAAAGGCTCTTACTGGGCTCCAGCTAAAGTCAGAAAGTTGTTTCTTTATGTCAGGGGTCTTCAAACTTGGCCCTTTTATGACTCGTGGACTTCAACTCCCAGAATTCCTCAGCCAGACACACTGGCTGAGGAATTCTGGGAGTTGAAGTCCACAAGTCATAAAAGGGTCATAGTTCCCTCACGCTGGCTGAGGAATTCTGGGAGTTGAAGTCCACAAGTCATAAAAGGGTCATAGTTCCCTCACGTTGGCTGAGGAATTCTGGGAGTTGAAGTCCACAAGTCATAAAAGGATCATAGTTCCCTCACGCTGGCTGAGGAATTCTGGGAGTTAAAGTCCACAAGTCATAAAAGGGTCATAGTTCCCTCACGCTGGCTGAGGAATTCTGGGAGTTGAAGTCCACAAGTCATAAAAGGGTCATAGTTCCCTCACGCTGGCTGAGGAATTCTGGGAGTTGAAGTCCACGAGTCATAAAAGGGACAAGTTTGAAGATCCCTGCTTTATGCGTTCAACTTTTTAGTTCCGGTATTCCCCAGGAAATATTAATCTTTAGTGTTAACACTTGTTCCTCTGTAAGGACCTGACTATATCTGTTTTGTCATCCTGTACCTCAAACCCTCCGAAGCAGGTTTGAGCTGTACATTTGGGGCACCAGCTTATCAGCAAATGCTAAATATTTGAAGCTTGGTACAAGATTCAGCCCAGGCAGACCTGTCAGAAAAAGATTAACTCTTGTTGAGATTGTACAAATGAACTTTCTTCTTGCTTCCTAAGAAGAAGCTCCGTTAATTATACTAATCGATTTCGGTTTTTATTTTGCCTTAAGTCAGGGGTGTCAAACTCAATTTCATTGAGGGCCGCATCAGCATTGCGGTTGCCCTCAGGGGGGCGGGTGGGTGCAGCCTACTGGGTGGGCGTGGATGGAGTGGGTGTGGCCTACTGGGTGGCCGTGGCCAGCTCTACATCAGTGGTTCTCAACCTGTGGGTCGGGACCCCATTTGGGGTCGATCGACCATTTCACGGGGGTCGCCAAGCAAGGCTGTCCGCCTTTTTTTTGTACGCCATTTTTTCCCCCTTTTCCGGCGGGTGCCTTACCTCCCTTGGGCTGGGCCAGCTGGTGGTTGGCCTGCTCCGTCTCTGCCGCTTGCCAGGTACGCCTCGGCCGGCGCAGGGGGCGGAACCACGCATGCGCGGCGCTCCCAAGCAGGGAAAGTCCTCGACTTACGACCGATTGGGTAGTCCTCGACTTGCGACCGGTTTAGTCCTCGACTTACGACCAGCTTAGTCCTCGACTTACGACCGGTTGGGGTCACGGCATTAAAAAGGTTGAGAACCACTGCTCTACATCATTCACGTCAAGGGTGCCTGTGGGGGCCTGGGCAGGAGTGGGATAGATCTGAGGGTCTCTGGCAGAAGGGAGTGGGACCAGGGCAAGTGCCAAGGAATGGTCCACTGGAGGAGCCTCACTGTTCCAGGCCATGCGGTGGGGGGGTTATGGAGCTAAGACTGAATGCGTTTCAGCATAGATGGCCACCACAAAATTGTACATGGGCTCCTGGCCGGCCTGGGCCAGGGCCAAGGCAGAGGGGGCCGTTCCCTCACTGTTTCCAGGATGGCTTCACGGGCCACATGAAACCACTTCGCGGGCCGCATCCGGCCCCCGGGCCTGGTGTTTGACATGTCTGCCTTAAGTCAACTCAGCATCCTGAGTGGAGTTTGAAGGCTGTTTGATTGTCATCCTTTCTAGATAGAATCTATCATTACATCTTGCTTTCGGGGACAGGATATTAATCTTTTAGTCTTAGATTAGTATACTTAGAAAGATATGATTTATAATTAGGATGGCTCACTTTTCTGTGGTATGGGAAATATGAAAATATCAGGATGGCTCTTAACAAAGGAAGCTTTTACTCAATCAATTTTGAGAAAATTGTAACCTACAAAAGACATTTTGAATACTGAAGGGAAACCAAAATTGAAATAAGAGTTGGAAGAATAGGGTATTGGTTCAATAAGGTGGCCTCAGTTGCAAATATAATTGAGATATGAGTTGAGTAGAAAAGATGTTATAAACTGGAACTATTTCTATTAGGTACAATAGAAAAATACAATGAGGAAGTATATACTAAATGTTGCAGGTATTATTAGCAGTAAGAATTGTATTTGCTTAGTGCTGGAAAAATGAAGAAACATCACCTGAAGAAGGGAGGATCAAGAAAACACCAGACTGTGTAGAAATTGGCAGATCAATATTGAAGGATAAAGAAAAAGAAGACAGAATAATTTCAAATATCACTGGCCGGAAAAAAGGGGTAGAGATTAGGAATTCAATATGTATTATTAAGTAAAAAATGGATCCAGACAACACGTTGTTTACTAAGCACTTATAATTTGTAACAACAGAAAATTAATTTAAATTAAAAAAAAAAAAAAAGACAACAGGATAAAAATTATTATAGCCTGGGTATCTTCTCAGAAATCCAAAGCTTTTGTTTTTGAGTTCAGATTTGAGACAACTTATTTCACCCTGTCGTATTTAAGCAGCATTGTTCCAACTGGTATTATTCAAATTTGATATCTCTGAAATTCATAGTTGGTGAAGGAAACTCATTATTTTCATCAAGACTAATTACTTTTGGTATTCTTACATTCTGCTTTTAAAAAACTCATGGGACAACTATCCAAAGTAGTTTTGTACTATTCTGCTAAAAAAAAAGAATAACTATGGAACTTAATATTATCAGGATAATATATGGCGTCTTTGAGAAAGCTAAACATAATCACAGTATTTTAGAAAAAGCCTTGGCACTTAAAAAAAAAAAAAAGCTCATCCACATTATTGGAAAGCTCAGGATACCAAATCTTGACTGACTTCAGAAATTTTAAGTAGTAAAAATTGTTGCGGTATTTATGCAGATCTCGCAATATAAAAACACACAAATAATGTTCACCTGATAGATAGCTTTTGGTGAGCAGCACAAATCATGCAGTATAACAAAATCCTCTATACTGGATACCTTTATTGTGGACTTCTGCTTCACACATGCCTACCCAAAACCAATGTCAAGATTATTGCAACAATCCCAACTACCCATAACATCAAAGCCACATTGCATCACATCAGATGTAGTTGTTTTTAGAAGTCTTGCTTAGATTAAGCTTCAGTTTCTTTCTATAGTTTATAAATGACCTCAGGCATCAATTTAAAATCTAAACAGTTAGCTGGGATTTTGATTGGAAAAAAGATAAACAGCGTTAATCTTTTGGCTTAAGGTTCTTCTGCCATGCACTTCTAGGTAAACTACATATCTTGGCTTGTCCAGGTATGCATCTAGTAATCTAGATTACACAGATCAAGAATTTACAGTGTTTCGCAATTAATGTCTTTTGATTTTGCACCATATATACAGTAGAAGGCCAGTTTGATTTCCTTGGTATACTGTAGTTTCCTCTTATATTTTCATGCAAGAAGTTACAACTTTGCATTCATAAGATTAGCCTATTGCAGGGATAGGCAACGTTGGCTCTTTTATGACTCGTGGACTTCAACTCCCAGAATTCCTGAGCCAGCCATGCTGAGGGGAAAGGGAGAGGTTTCCAAGCTGAGCCATGCTGGCTCAGGAATTCTGGGAGTTGAAGTCCACGAGTCATAAAAGAGCCAAGGTTGCCTACCCCTGGCCTATTGCCTGCGGGATTGGATTCGTGTTTCCTCAAGATTTGTAAGTTTGTTATTTCTTTATTGGAGGGCTCCATTTTTGAGGCAGTCTTGGTCTTCAGAGAAGGACTCTAATTAGTGTGGCACCAATAAGGGAAAACATCTGATTTGCGTGCTGAATTTATTGGCGTTGAAAGTGGGTGGCATAGAAGTGTGGTTACAAATAAACATCTCCGAACTAAAGACTTATTTGAGAATGGAACAAAGAAGGCAGTCCATTAATACTTACATCAGACTGCAAATGATTTAGACCTCAGACAAAGAAACTCTTTTTCTGAGTGATTTGCTTTCTCTCGTAAAGGCCTTTTTTGTTGCTGCAAAATCACATTTCTGTGGGCAGTGTGTTTTGCGGACAAATGAAGTTTTTTTTTTTTATAAAGTCAGCTTGGGAAGCCTTGTTCATAGGATATCTTAGAGCATTAAAGAGAAATTAATATGTTTTCTTAGAAGAAATCTGATGAGAGCTAAGGAGCTTGAAATAGCTATACCAGCTTCCCTTTAACTCTTTGTTAGCAATCCAAATTTAACATAGATAGATGGATGGATGGATGGATGGATGGATGGATGGATGGATGGATGGATGGATTTTCATACTTGAATTTACCATTCTGTTTTTCAAAAAGATTTCCCCTACAGTATGCTGGAATTGCATTTATTTATTTACAGCTCCAAGAGCTTTCAAGATCTGTAGTTACATTTAATGTTTCTCAAATATCCCTCCATCTTTATTTAGCAGTTTTTGCAATTCATTATGTTGAACTTTTTCAAACCCAATTTGCCTCTCCCCCCCTCCCACCCCCAGTACCCATTGTCTGCTCCTCAAAACGCCTTTGCTACGCCACCTTGGGAATATTCTTGACAGAAAGATCCTTTTGTATTTTAATAGAATCATTGCACAACATAAATATATGAAGGATCAGAAGAAAAAGGTTATAACAATCTTGTAACATGTAACTTCCATCTGTTAAGTATCAAATCTAGCCGTTTTCTTGAAATATAATTCTTTTTCCTCGATATCTATCTCTTAAACTGGAAGTAGCCTACGTTGTTTGCATGATTACAGACCATAACATTCCTATTGGGATCGTTTATCATCAATTATGTCCATACTTTGAGATATAGTATATTTGGTCCATAAGGCAGGCCCATATTTACACATCACACACTCTTTGGATGTACTTTACCTTACAAATTCATAGTGTGAATACGAGCCTCATTTAATTGAAGTAAATACTTATTAAATTTCAATCTAATAATAATAATAATGGTAAAGTTGGAAGGGACCTTGGAGGTCATCTAGTCCAACCCCCTGCTCAGGCAGGAAACCTTATACCATTTCAGACAAATGGCTGTCCAGTTTCTTCTTAAAAACTTCCAGTGTTGGAACATTCACCGCTTCTGGAGGCAGGTGCATCATACACCATTTAAAGTATTGTAACATATAAATTAATGTTGTTTTCTCTGTATATTGTACTCTTGGCTGGAAGAACTACATTCTTAGCTTGCCAGATATATTATCCTCATTTTCTGATGTAATAGAAAGGTATTATTTGGCTGTATTGATCATTTTAAACAGAAAATTAACTGTTAATCCCTAAACTTATCTACAATTAGCAATTGTTTAAGAAAAAGCCAAATCCAAATACTGAAGTAATTAGCTAAAAGAGTACATTGTAGAACAGGGGTGTCAAACGGCCGGCCGGCGGGCAGGATGCGTCATGGCGAAACCGTGCCCACCCCATTGCCAGCAATGGGGAAAAAAAGTCACGATACGTCGCAACACGTCACGTGACGTTGCGAGTTTGACACCCCTGTTGTAGAAAGAGTCCTCAAATTTAAATTTAAAATTGAGGACTCTTAAACTTCTTTTTTCGGTAAGGAATGACTGAAACGTAGACCCACTTCTGCACATCATCCCATGAAAACCATTTGTCTGAAATGGTATAGGGCAGGGGTAGGCAACCTTGGCTCTTTTATGACTCGTGGACTTCAACTCCCAGAATTCCTGAGCCAGCCATGCTGTGAGGGGAAAGGGTGAGGTTTCCATGCTGAGCCATGCTGGCTCAGGAATTCTGGGAGTTGAAGTCCACGAGTCATAAAAGAGCCAAGGTTGCCTACCCCTGGTATAGGGTTTCCTGCTTGAGCAGGGGGTTGGACTAGAAGACCTCCAAGGTCCCTTCCAACTCTATTATTATTATTATTAGTAGTAGTAGTAGTAGTATTAGTATTATTATTATTAGTAGTAGTGTTTAGCTGCTGAAACAATTAGAATGAATTAGCTACACAGTTACTTGTCATTGCAGCTGTTTTTATTTGCACCGCTTCTCATGGAATTGCTCATCTTTTCTGGTAGAATATTGAAAGGACATTGTCATTTAGATCTGACCCATTTGCATCTCTCAAAAGCAACAAGTTCAGAAATATTTATTTATTTATTTATTTATTATTTAAATTTATATACCGCCCTATCTCCCTTACGTGACTCAGGGCGGTGAACAGGCAATAATAAAAATCACAATAAATATTGAATAAAAAGCCTGCTCTAAAATTGGCTGTTGTGAACTAGTATGTATTGGGTGCTGTTCTGCTACATCGCTGGTGATTTTAGGCTCTGTCTGATTTTAAGCTGCGGCCATTTTACGGCTCTTGACACTGAACGTGACTTGTCTCCTTTTGCTGCTATTCCAGTTCCGTCTCCCAGTAAATTCCGGTCTCCAGCAACGCCCTCACCTCTGGCTCTGAGACAGCCAGTGAAAGCGTTTAATACCCATGGACCTAATTCCGTTCCCGAAGCCACGCCGCTTCCGCACGGCAGCTCTTCGCCGGGGCCTTTAGCAGCTCCCAGTTCTGCCAGTCCAGCCAGCAGCATCAACAGCGCGACCCTTACCAGACCTGCGGGAACCACAGGGTTGAGGAGTGGCTTGCCAAGACCGAGCACCCCCGGCACGGGGGGCATCCCAGTGCCTCGTAGCAAACTCACGCAGCCCATGCGCAGGTGAGTCTACCGCTACATCATTTGGGAGAAACATTCATGTCCTGGGTCACGTTATCTTACACCGCTAGAATGATTTGTCTGCGTGTGTTTATTCTGAAAGTGAAACACTTTTGTATCAAAATTAATGTATTTTTCAATGGTGCGTTTCTGGTATTTCGGAGAAGCTGGCAATAGAGGGGAATGATACTTTCGAATAGAATAGAGCTGGAAGGGACCTTGGAGGTCTTCTAGTCCAGCCCCCTGCTCAAGCAGGAGAAACTATACCATCTCAGACAAGTGACTGTCCAGCCTCTTCTTAAAAATCTCCAGTGATGGAGCGCCCACGATTTCTGGTGGCAAGCTGTTCCACTGGTTGATTGTCCTCACTGTCAGGAAGTTTCTCCTTAATTCCAGGTTGCTTCTCTCTTTGACCAGTTTCCAACCATTGTTTCTCGTCCTGCCCTCTGGCGCTTTGGAGAATAATTTGAATTTGTGTGGGTTTAATCTGGCGGGCGGACTTAAATCTACTTTTCTGACTTTGAGATAAGTGAAGTATTTTGGGATAAGATGGAGGGTAGGGGTAGACTTGAAAGAGCTGAATGTTTTATGGACACCGGAATTTTTATATCAACGAAGGCAGAAAGTAATTTGGGGTGCTTTGTTAGGTAGAGCCATTTTGAGATTTCGTGGCTGAAACATCCATGCATTACCTTTGTCTCATACTTATTTTTAAGATTCAGATTTGGGGAGAAATTAAACGTGTTTACACTACTTTCTGCTGCTTTTGAACGAAATAACTATAATTTTGAAGAATCATTACTATGTGTACATTTTGACTTACCCCGTTATATCCTTGTCTTTCTAATTTTGAGGCTATTTGTGGAATTACTACATAGATTCTTCACTGCAAAGACATTTTCTGGCTCATGACAATGTATAGTTAGACTGTGTACTACAATTAGTCCTTGCTTAATGACCAGTTCACAGTTACAGCGGACCTCCCCAAAGCTTCAGCACCCCTGCAGTTGTCTGCCCTTACAACCGGCTGCAGAGGCACTGCCATCCCCCCATACACCCCGCCGGATTCTCCCTCACCAGGCCCCACTCCCTCCTCCACATTTATCTTTTGAAGAGTTCCAGAAGCTTCTGCAGCACTGGAACCAGGGCTGTGGAGTTGGTAGATAAATGTTCCGACTCCGACTCCTCAGTTTTTTGTACTTCCGACTCCCCGACTCCTCTGTATTAATATGCGAATGTATTTTATACATTCCTTGAAGGAAAGAAAGGCAACATACATGTCATTACCACAGGACTACTGGCTGGGAAGCCAACAGTCTACTGTATTGAACAGTTTAAGCAAAAGACAAACACAATGAAAACAACAAAGTTTTATTAATTTTTTTTTATTAATTTAATTAATCAAGTGGNGCCCAGGGCAGGCAGGACTGCACTAGGCTTCCCAGGGTCTTTGAGGCACCCCACGGTCTGCTTAATAACCCGTGCAGTTGTGTTAAGTACCACATCAGGGAGAGCAGGGGGTCGTTAAGTGCATCTTGACATTGAAACGATGAACATACATGTAGACGCCCTTGGCTGAGCCAGCCTGTCGCAGGATGACGTCCTCAAAAAGTGAGCTGAAATTGTAAAATTTAAAATCAGTAAGTAATGTTGAGGTCATGGTTCCAACAGATGAAACTCTTCAAAGAACTTGGAGGCATTGTTTACCTTAAAGAATCTTTATTTGAGTAGCATAGCATCGGCACTAACACAGTGGAAGCCAAAAACTGGATTCCCCTCCCCTGAGCACATAGTATCAAAGCACAATTCCCTCCTCCAGTTCACAGTCATAAATCACATTCCCCAATTAGTTTGAAATGCAGGCTCTCCCTCCAGTTCTCCAGCCCACCAGTTCTTATCATCTCTTATTTCATTAACCTTGGTTCTCACACTAGGTCCAGTGTTATTATGTCTAACTAATCTCTCATACACATTCCTCCCCCCCCCCCAGCATCATCTAACTCAGTGTTTCTCAACCTTGGCAACTTGAAGAGGTATGGACTTCAACTCCCAGAATTCCCCAGCCAGCACAGCTGGCTGGGGAATTCTGGGAGTTGAAGTCCATACCTCTTCAAGTTGCCAAGGTTGAGAAACACTGATTCTAACTCTAAAAGTAAAACATAGGAAGAAAATGGTTGCATCTCTTAACTGTTGTCAAAGCAAAAACATCCGATGTTAGCAGCGTTGACACCTAAGGGGTTTTCTTTAACCAAGAAATGTATCAGGTGCGCCTGCACGGGTGATTTCATGCAAGAATCGATAAAATTTATCTCCCGGTCTTGGGCTCTTCAACAACATATCAACCTGCAGCTGCACTTTGGCTGCACAAATCCAGACAGCTTTTGCTCTTTTGCTGCCATCTAGTGATTTGTAATTTAATAGGACATAAATCCTTTAGGGAAAAAAAAGTGGATGGAATGGAACTCCTGGAACGCCTGACCCTAACAAGCACCATTCCAGCCACATTTTGCATGGCTTATCCACAGTTCAGGATCCTGAAATTTTGTCCAGGAAAAAAAACCCACCAATTGCTGGCCTTTTAAGAGTGTTGCTTGGAGGGACTACAAAGAGTAGCACAACATGGCTAGGTTCAAGGGCAGACTGTAGGCAGGGCAAAGCAGCTGTGCATTTGAGGGTCCCATACGTGCACAGAAAACAACTCTGAAAGCTAGAAGGGGAACGTAGAGCTAATCTCAAAATGGCGAAATTTAAATGCCTGCTAAATTTAAAGAGCAATACAACATTATTATACAATAAAGGGCATAAGGCAGATGTATGAAAGCTTCTTCTTGTGCCAGGCTACCGTAATAATTAGAACACCAAAAGGGGGCATAAGAAAAGGCACTGTGGAATATTATTGCTGATCCTAAAGTTTCTTGGCATTGGGAGAGAAGCAGTACAGAATCTTCGACGGTTTTCATTTTTTGTTCCTGGGTTCTTTACATCAAAAGAAAAAAAAGAAAGAGAGAGAGAGAGAGATACAGTAGGCTATAAAGAACCAGAATATCTGGGAGAGACTTTCTGATGAATCTCATTTTCTCTGTTTCAGATCCCTGCCAGCTCCCAAATCCTATAGCAGCGTAAAAGACGAGAGCTGGAAGGATGGCTGCTACTGAACGGCATAGCTTTGTAACTCAACGATATCCTTCTTCACCAGGCTTAAACCACAGATCAACATGCAGACTGATGGAAAATACTTTGGGGGGGGGGGTGTTGAAACTCTCCAGATCTCTCTGTCTTTAATTAGCACAAGCTGGCAGAGATTATAAAACAGCACTTTAATGACATTTAACATCAGATACTTGGTGATCACTCAGATTATTTTTACGTGAATCACGTATCGCTTCTGAAGCTCTGCTTCCCTGCTTCCTAAAATTGTGATCGATGCTCACACGGCTACAACAGTCAACATGGCTACAACAAGGGCAAATGTCTGAATATGCCAAAGATACATCCATTTTGAAAAAGTGCAGCACATAAAATGTTAAGCAAAAACAATTCTTGAAAGACCGTGCGTTACTTGATTTTAAAGAGCAAGGCTTCTTTTCACCCGTAGAAGAGATATATTAATGTTGATCAAAGCAAAAATTGGATCGTAAAATGCTACTGGGGCTAGTGAGATTGTTTGAGACAATTGTGGAAGAGGTGTGTGGAGAAACTGAGTCACAACAGAGCCTTGTCTCTGGAGTCTCACTGTGGGAGTGATAGAGTTGTACCAATTTTTTTTTTAAAAAAAACAACACCTAGGCCTCTGAGACTTGATAAGCATAGGTTGCCATTCTTTTACGTTGACTTGTCATATCAGGTTTTGTGTAATACTACGATTGCCAAAAGGGCTCATTTATCAGTTGTACAATCCCAAAACTAGCTGTTCCTGGCTCAGGAAAATAGCTTTTTTTTTTCTTTTTAAACATGTGAGTCTTTTTTAGAGCAAGCTTCCTGGGAAGAGAGAGGAAGAGAACTGATGAAGAAATAATCGCCAGGGGTATAAAGCCTGGAGTGCAACTGAGCAGGCCTGTAGTTAACATGAAGGAAAAACAACAACAACAACAACTATGCAGCTCTTGCCCAGAGATTCTAAGGAAATCAGTTGTTCTGCTGACACCAAATGCTTTATTCCTGTGGGTTATGTTTCACGGTATGAGGGAGTCTTTATCCTTTTTTTTTTTAAAAAAAGATCAGCTTCCTAGAGGTGTGTTTAATTGTAAATACTTCCACTGAGGTTATTGCCCCTATTAATATTTTAACTATGTACTTTGCCTTATATTTGTATTTTGCATTATTGGTAACAGTTTGAAGAAAGAAAGAAAGAAAGAAAGAAAGAAAGAAAGAAAGAAAGAAAGAAAGAAAGAAAGAAAGAAAGAAAGAAAGAAAGAAAGAAAGAAAACTCTGTCATGTATGTTTACAAAGTGGTTTGCTCCTCTAACAGTTGTCAGCTTTTTGCTATTTTGCCAATCCTCGTTGTCAGGGTATTCCCTCACGCGGTAGAAAACTATTAATACTCAAAAGCCCCATCTTTTGCGGCTCCCTTTTCGATTGTTTTAGGTCAGGGGTAGGCAACCTTGGCTCTTTTATGACTCGTGGACTTCAACTCCCAGAATTCCTGAGCCAGCCATGCTGAGGGGAAAGGGAGAGGTTTCCAAGCTGAGCCATGGTGGCTCAGGAATTCTGGGAGTTGAAGTCCACGAGTCATAAAGCGACCTAGGCCTAGACCAGGGGTAGGCAACCTTGGCTCTTTTATGACTCGTGGACTTCAACTCCCAGAATTCCTGAGCCAGCCATGCTGAGGGGAAAGGGAGAGGTTTCCAAGCTGAGTCATGCTGGCTCAGGAATTCTGGGAGTTGAAGTCCACGAGTCATAAAAGAGCCAAATTTGAAGACCCCTGTTATAAGCTCTCCTCAATGTTAAAACTATGCTGAATGTCTAAAAATGGAGAAAGGATTTCTTTCTATTTCTGAGGAAAGAGTAATTCATTTGCAGACAAGCAATCCTTAATGAATGGATTTCCAATATAGTCGATAATTAGATGATACCCAATTTAAATACTAATCCACATACAAACCAGACAATCTCATTAACTTAGCCCAGGGGTAGGCAACCTTGACTCTTTTATGACTCGTGGACTTCAACTCCCAGAATTCCTGAGCCAGCCATCCTGAGGAGAAAGGGTGAGGTTTCCATGCTGAGCCATGCTGGCTCAGGAATTCTGGGAGTTGAAGTCCACGACTCATAAAAGAGCCAAGGTTGCCTACCCCTGAGTTAGGTTGTAGTGGAAGACAGAAGAAAAGTTACTTATCAGAAAGGAATTCAGAATCAGTCACTTGCAATGATTATTTTCCTTTTTAAAGAAAGAAAAGGCAGTCTCTCGGAATGACGTTTCCTTTTGCTGTCTAAAGTATTGAGCTAAACAAACAAACAAACAAAAAGGTTTTAGCTAGGATGCCATTTTGGTAAGGACTGAGCATCAAACATACTCCGTTTGCAGCTTGAAACCCTCATTCACGCCTGCCTCTTAAAATGTGTATTTTTGAATTTTGCAAAAAAAAAAGAGTAAGTGGTTTGGAGATTCCCGTCTTTGATTATTTAGGTAGCCTTCCTAGATTAGTGGATTAAAAGCCATGCAATTTTTACTTGAATTGGAAAAGTGACCAAGGCAGGATAGGACTAGACATCTGTTCCAGCACTCAGGCGTTTTTATTTTTATTTTTTTAATTTAAAGGGATGGCCCTTCCACGGTCTTGTGTAAAAGGATGGGATTCTGGAATCTTTAGATGCTGGGTCCTGAAGGCACAATATGGACCTTTCAGACATAAATTATCACCTGCAAGTAAGACCCTGGACATCGTGACTTCGTTTTCACTTTGCAGCTTTACATAGTGGAATTACTTGCACTTGTGTGAGTCACAAGCACATTGTGGGGAGTGATTTTCCTTTAACTGGGAATGTTACTATGAACACATCCTAATTGCAGTCAAGCCAGATCAAAAAGAATTGAACCGGGGTGTCTTCTTAAATCAGGGTAGCCAGTAATTGTAGGAAGGGAAATTAACAGGAGCTGTGTTGCACTGTCAGTCCAGCATGTTTAAAGTGCTGATCAGAAAAAAAACATGAGATATCTAAATATTTTTAGGTAACTTTTACCTAGTCTAATTTTTAAAACGGGGCTCTAGCCAAGTAGATATTGCAGTCTTTATAAGTGAGAACGTTCTCATTTCTACTTTTACTAGAAAAAATACTTTTATCTGAATATTTTCTTCAGACATCCAGATGTTGCCTTTTTAACCAAGCTACATCACCTTAATTTATAAGCGTGTTTTTACGAAGCTCAACCTTGCGTTACTTTTGATAATGCATCACGTTTTAAGGGCATCATCCCCCCCCCTGCTGCCACGTTGCAATAAACATCCAGCAAATTTAGATTCCTGAAAAAGGTGTAACTAGAGGAGACTTTCACACTGTCAGTTTATTTGATTGCCACGACATCCTATGACTTTTTGTGTTTTAGAGGTTTGGGTATATTGAAGTGTGGAAACATGAATATGATAAACTAGTGCCTATGATTTACTTAATTTATGTTTGACAATAGTTGTTAAGGGTTTTATGAATGTGGGGGGGGGATTGTGTCAACAGCTCAGAATTGTTGTATGTGTGTAGGCAGAAAAGAAAGGAGTTCTGCTTCTAAAATTATTTAATTTTTCCTCAGTGTTTGAATGTTTTTGTAAATGTTAATAAAAAAGTGTAAAAAGGAAGAATATAGGTATTCTTAAAACATTTCTTTGACTCCTTTTTTGAAATAAAATATATATAAAATGAAATATTTGTTGTTTCTTTATATTAAGTACTTTGTTCATTTGCATGTTTTCAGAAACAAAGCTTGTATGGGAGAGCTGTGTTCAAATTGCACATAATAGCAACAATCCCACTTTTAAACACAGTATATTGTGAATCGAAAAGGGAGAGTTGATTTTAAGAGTAAAAGAAAACGTTTAGCAACAGCATAATTTATAGAACTATTTTTGAAATCTTGTCTGCATAATTTTGTTCTAATAATACAAGCTATCTAATTTTAGTCTAATTTATTCGTATGAAATACTGAAAGCTTACCATGAGTGCATTCTAGTTTCTTAGTTTTACTTTTCTTTTTCGGATGTTCTGTTTTCTAAATCTTCATTTGTTCTGTTACAAAACTTCTAGAATTGAATTGCTCCTATTTTTATGGATTTTTTAAAGCTTACAGTAGGTTAAACATTCTGTAAGTTCCTTTTTTTTTAAATGGCTTTTTTGTTTGTACATCTATAATATAAAAATGATTTTGTACATTTTATACAAAGGGAGATGACCTCATCTCCCTTAATTTACTACTATTTAAAAGCACAATTTTGTGTTTGAATTTTTTATCAACTTGAAAATTTTTCAAGGGATGAATTAAACCCCTAATTACAGTCCTGATCTTATAAAGGAAAAATATACGTTTTGGTTAGAGAACTAATTATAGTCCTGATCTTATAAAGGAAAAATGTAAGTTTGGTTAGAGTTTGAAAAAAAAGTACCAGCTTTGCTCTTTTTACATAACTTTCTAGAGAAAGGATGGTCCTTTTAAGGAAGCATCAATAGCTCACGTGGCAACCTTGGCTGATATATATCTTTTTAATAATCACATTTTTAAATTATCTAGCAAAGTCAAAAACACTTGCTTTTATTCCTTACGCTGTTTTTATATAGATTTTATATAGACTATGTGGAAGTTCCAGTTCAAGTATTCCTTTTAGTTTTATTATGATGGCATTCCAGCTGTTTCCACTTATATATCTTTGTGAAAAGGATATGACATCCTTACATCTACATCTCTACCATCTCTCCAAACATGATTCAGGACTAACCATAACAGTTGAAAATCACAAGATATTAAAGGGAAGAACAGGTTTGGAAATAATGGTACTGACATGTAGTAGATGTGCCAGAATCAAAAGCTAAATTTATGTTTAATATTACACTATTAAATACCAGTGTACAGTTTATTTTCATTTTTTGATTAAATTCCAGAGTCTGAACATAATATACAAGAAAACTTAGAGAAGATTGCCTCTTAATATTTCATAGATGAAATACTCCCACTTCTCAAGTAAATAAATAGGTTACAGCACCACTGAGACAACTTTCCACACAACAGAATAACAGTTGGAAGGGACCTTGGAGGTCTTCTAGTCCAA